AGAGAGGGCGATTCGAAGAATAAGGGAGGCTGCACTTGCTTGAAAATTTTTTCTAAATCGTCCGCCGCCACATTTTATTGCGATATAATCGAGAGTAAAAATACATTTTTCGTAATTTATCACAATTTTTTATATATATATTTAATTTGAAATTTTTATTGCGCATGAATTTGACAGATCTAAAAGTATTTTTAAATAAAATTTTGAGGGCTGATTCTGTATATATGTATATATTAAATTTGAAACTTTTATTGCGCATTAATTTGCGAGGGTAAAAGAGGGCGAACCGGAGGATAAGGGAGGCCGTACTTGCTCGGGAATTTTTTCTAAATCATCCACATATATTTTTATAATTTATCACAATTTTTTATATATATGTATTAAATGCGAAATTTTTATTGCGCATGAATTTGACAGATCTGAAAAATGTATATACAGGGTATTTTTAAATAATGAAAAATTTTAGGGGATAATCCTGTATCATTTCCTGAGGAGTTATTTTCTTCCAAAGAGGGAGGTGAAAATTAAATTTATTTCTTTTTTCATGAAGACTTTTGGTTTTACGAAAAAATGAAGGAAATAAAAAAGTTTCTAAAGGAATCAAGCTTTCTAACGTATATATTTAGAGATTATTTATATTTCAGTCCGTCAAAAAGTTCTAATGAAAAATTGAATAGGGGTTGCTAGTTTCATCCCCTTACACCGATACGAGAGAATTTGAAAAATATTAATAAGTATATTTTTTATTCTTGGAAAATATCGATCAAATTTCATTTTTCAACTTGTTCAAAATTTGAGAAAAAATTAAAAATCTAATTTTTACCTTTCCTTTGGAAGAATGTAACTCTTCAGGGAGAAATTTATATATTTTCGATAAAGAAATCATTTAAAATGTTTCGCACTTATTTAGAATGAAATATCCTATATATCCATTAAATTCAAAATATATTTATTGTGTACTAATTTGACAGCTCTAAAAAATATGAAATTAAAAACTTTGAGTGTGTATTAATTTGACAGCTCTAAAAAATATGAAATTAAAAACTTTGAGTGTTTATTAATTTGACAGCTCCGAATTCGTCGCATCCGAAATTAAATCCACCTACATATACGTATACGTATAAAATTCGCGACTGTTATCGCGCATTTATTTGACAGATATACAGCTCCGTCGTTCGGGATCTAATTGCCGAGAGATTTCGGCCGGTTCGTCAAATTACTGCTTCGTTGGGAAACACACACGTAGATGACACGCGCCTTTAGAGATGCTTGTTAGGGCAGGCAAGATTGACACGTCGGTCGCAATTAAAACGTAAGAGGAGAGAGTGGGAGGCACGCGGCAAATTGCGTAGTCAAGTTGGAGGAGTCAAGGCAAGGAGAAGGGACGCGGGTATTATCATTGGTGAAATCAACTAATTAGAAATTGCGTAGACCGCTCGTTAAAGATCGCTCCGCCGAACGTAATCGCCAATTACTCTCTTAGTGCGCGGACTGAACTTTGCTCATTAAAATTATTAAACGCCGCCGGGCTCGTGTTTGACGTGTTTCTACGTCATCGCGGCCGGGGCGCGTCGATTGTGCGGATCGCCGAATTTTTACAGTCCATCGGGGACCGTCAAAAAATATAGATCATGCATATCTTTAACCGCAATTTTTTTTTTTTTTTTTAAGGTGATCCTTACCTCTCTTTTATCGAAACAAAGCAAAGTTTTAGATTCGACCATGAATCTTTTTATTGGCTGTACAGATTGAAATATCCCTTTTGCCCCCTTTTGTTTGTTAATATCAATATTTTAATTGTGGAAAAGAATTTATCAATCTGTGCAGTCAATTAAAATATTCATTAATATTAATTTTTTCTAGTTAAATAATATTAATATAATTATTAAATTATATTAATATAAAATAAGTTCAAGCACCAATATTTTGATTGACTGTACAGATCGATAAATCCTCTTCCACAATTAAAGTATTAATATTAACAAACGGGGAGCGCTATAATTTTAGGTAAAAAAAAAAATTACATTTTATCGGATTTAAAAATTTTTTGTTTTTTTTTTACATTATTAGTACATTATTTGTACTTTGATGGTGGAAAATGATATTTCAATCTGAAGAGGTACTTGAAGTGCAGGAAGTAATCAAGTGCAGCTCGTAGTTAAAATACAAATCAAGCTGGCTGAAGCCCATATGGGCAAGATAAATCTCGACGCGATCACTGTTTTATCGAAGATACATCAAAATTATTATTAGTCAGCCGCGCGACTCGATAATATCGCGTCATATAATAGACGGTCTTCATTGTCATTTATCATTGCCGACGAACCGTTACTTTCGATCAATTTACTCCACCGCCGGCACATGTGTGCCACATTTAGCCTATTAGTACGGAACACAGTCGATGCCTAATTTAATAGAGCCAGTTTCTCTCTCTAACATCGCAGAGATCTCTATCCAGATGTTGAAATGATAAAAATCTCGGACATCGCGTTTGTTTAATTATTTATTCAATTAACCAACCATCGTGCATTTCTGTAATACGTATATATATATATATATTTTTTTTTTCGTCTGGCACACCTGAGTTATTAACGATTCCAAATATGGGATGCGCTTCTTTGAAGTATTAATTATGAAGTAAAATAACGAATAATTTGTGTCCGCGGCGTTTGACATTTTTTATAACTGTCATAAATAAGACTCCGCGGATAATCGAAAATTCTTGCTTGTCATCAGCTTTCCAGGATGGTCACGTAAAACACGCGTGAATAATGATACTGGTAATGACGTCGGGCGATTAAGAGGCCGATGAGAGAGAAAGAGAGAGGTAGATTTTATGGCTGATCCTCGATCATCAACTGTATAATTCCTTCTATCCGTTCTAGCTGATTGACTTGGCCGCGTCGGCCTCTAATTAGCAATTATGGAGAAATCGAAAACGCGATTCGGCTGTGTGTATATATATATATATATATGCGAAGGCACACGCATCTCCGCTCATTAACTTCGCGGAGGATGCGACCCGGAAGTAGGTACTCGGTCAAGTTGATAAAGACGCGGCCCCGCAATTAAAACTTGCCACGTCGATTTATTTACGCTAGAGACGCTCGAGAGACGCAAAACTCTCATCATCCTCTCTGCGCTTAACAGAAGAGACGAAGACGCTGCCTTTGATTAGGATCTCGTGCCACGTGCGCGAACCACGTGTATATATATATATATATATATATATATATATATATGTATGTATATCTTCAGCATCTTCCCACGTAACACAAGACCGATCAACCAACTTAACTGGTTCGCGAGGGAAATTGAATTAATAATGCGATGGAATTCCCGATAACGTCGCAGAGAATTTCTAAACGATCCTTTTTTCCGATTCTTTATCTTTACAACTTCATACATTGTCATATTTAATTAATACGTGACATAACGCATGTACTGGGTGTGCCGAAATTACCAGATATCCTGTTAATAGAGGTTTGGAGATGATTTTTTTCAGCGAAAATGTCGAGGTCATCAGTTTTTATTACATGTTCCCAATTTTTGCCATCATGTATATGGAGAGAATTTTATGAGTCTCTGATTAATATTTATTACACTAAAAAATATTAATATGTACATAGTAATGTTTACTATAGTAAAGTTAATTGGGCATATTTTATATCTTATTGTAGTAAATTTTCCACAAAGCCTGGTTTGCGAAAAATCCTTAATTTTCAACTGCTTACAACTTGAAAATTATTGGTGCCTCGACAAAATAACCTTAGGAATCTCCAGTAATTTTGGGACACCCTGTACACTCGTCGATTCATACGCGAACGAGAAAGTAAGCACGTTGATCTCTCCCAATTTCGAAATTCGTGCATCACCATACCTCCTTTGTTCTTGTTTGCGAGAACCGTCCGGCGCCAACTTGTTTGCATCCGCATTTTCCGGAACACGCATTTAAAATCGACCGATCGAAGACAAATCGCGAAAAAAGAAGAGAGGGAGAAAAACAGCAAAAAGCAAGAGAGAGAGAGAGGGAGAATAAAAAGAAAAGGATTGAAACGTCATTCGGCGAGCAATCATCGAGATACTGGGCCGAGCTAGCGCGATCAGCTGTATCTCCGACAGATAAATTAGCAATTTAATTATAGAACTGTCAGCCGGTAATTAAATTAATAACGAGAAACCTCAAATCTCCCCCTCTTTCACTCTCTCTCTTTCTCTCTCTCCAATCCAATCCGTCGTCGTAACAACCTTATGCGCGCTCTCGAGTAAAGTCGGACGCAAATATCGATATGCCGACTCCCTATCGCGTGTTTCAAAAGCCGATTTAATTAAATATTTCATTAAATTTAAATGGAATTCGATTTTAACTGCAACGCGCAACTCATATATATATATATATATATATATATATATATATATATATATATATGACGCCGGAAAACATCGCAAATTGATCGTCAGATCTCTTTCTAACTTCGGGTTCGAGTTCCCGAACTGAACGAAAGATAGCCGGTACGTCGCGAAAGAGATCCTCCTTCCTGGCCTTCTCGGAGAGACGTGAAATCGTGGCGCTCGCATCTCGAATCCCCATTCGACATACCTGCGTATCGTTACATAGCTAATTGCTGCATAAACAGCCGGTTTTACGAGCCAACGGGTATACGGCTTGACAACCGCTTCGCAAACATTAACTGCCATTAACGTGCGCGTTACATCGCGTCGCGCGCAGGTATTGGAGCTGCAAATGTGTATGTACGCGCGTACATAGGTGTGTTGGAGATGCACCGAAACGAAATTGTTGAAAATAATCGGGGACTCTAATCGTCGCCGTAATCGGACGTAACGTTCTTTCTCGCGTCGTAAAATTGCGACTCGTGTAATGCGCTTGAAATACCCAAAACGATCACTTACCGGGATCTCCAAAATCTATTTCCAATCACGCGGAATACTTTCAATTGAATGTCTAATCACGTGTCCGTCACGTGCTTGCCCTGTTGCAGGATGTTCGGTGGCAATGGTGGTATCTGCTCGAGTTGTGGCAACACAATACCACCGAACGAACTGGTCATGAGGGCCAGCGAATCGGTGTTTCACCTGAAATGTTTCAACTGCAATAAATGTGGTAATCCGCTCAACCCTGGCGACAGGTAAGAGTTCGAGAGGGAGTTATTCTTTATTATAGCAAATTTAAAAAAAGAATCTCTAGTTTACAAATACAAATTCAGGATGGAAACGGTGCTCAAGTATATCGTTGAGATTAGGACTTACAAGACATCCGGAATCATTCTTATGGCTGTATCAGACTAGGATTGAGAGTGGATTTTGAAATGTAACCAATTAGAATCGAGAAAACTAATCCCAAACTTGCAAAACTTTATTCTGATTGGTGAAATTTTAATCTAATCATTGTCTGATGTGGCCATCAGTGTTCTTCAATCTGCTGAAGATGGTGAAGGATCCTGGAGAAAGAATCGAAACATCCAATTTAAATAGAGAAAGATTATCAGCTTGGTTTCCATCCTGAATTTGTATCCTCTTCATTATTACCGAATCCTTTATTATTATAATAAATCGAAAAAGAGAAGCTCTGATGTAAACAAATATAAATTCAGGATGGAAACAGTGCTTAACTATATCACTGAGGATACTCGAATCTTTCTTAGTCAATCTGCTGAAAATGGAGAAGGAGAAAAGATCCTGGAGAAGTAGTTTCCATCCTGAATGTGAATCCTCATTGTTACCGAATCCTTTATTATTATAATAATCGAAAAAGAGAAGCCCTGGTATAAACAAATACAAATTCAGGATGGAAACAATTCTCAATTCTATCACTGAAGTCAGAACTTACAAGATATCTTTCTTAATATTCTTCAACCTGTTGAAGATAATGAAGGATCCTGGAGAAAGGATCGAAACACCTAATAGTTTAAATAGAGAAAGATTATTAGCCTGGTTTTCATCCTGAATTTGTATCCTCAATCCTTCATCCTACAGCGCTCTTATGTGACACACGACTCTCTAACGATTTCAGATATTACTTGCTGTCGGGCTCGCCAGTCTGCGAAAGCGATTGGAACAAGATTGTCAAGTCGGGCGTCACGGCAGCGACAGCCGCGGCTGGCAACAGCGGCGCACCAGTTAGGAAAGGTAAGGTCGGCAGGCCTCGAAGGAGCCGCGAATGAGGTGGCAACCCGGTCGGTCGCCCGAAGAAGGTGCAACCTTCTCCGCAGCCGACGCCCCCCGTCATCGTACCCTCGCCTCAGGTCGATGTCGTGGACGTCGCCGTTGGAGTGGATCCCTATTCGCCGCCTCCGCCGGGTCATCAGCATTATCACCATTACCACCACCATCATCACCACCATCATCAGATGGCACTTGCGCATCCGAGTCTGGCGGCCCAGCAATCGCACCTGCCGGCGTCCGGCTATCAGGACTGGTCGCCCTGGACCCAGGATACCTGCGATTAAAGCCGCTGCTATGCGGCAGGACCGAATCCCAAAAGGACTTCGCGCAATGAAGGAAGAAGCCTACTTTATGCGTCGCGAGTTCGGGTTTTCCAGGACAATCGCAAAGAGAATAGAGCCCACGTAGCCGTCCCCTGGGACCGCCGTCAGTGACTCTGTCGAGTGTCTATTACCGTACTACTTTGGCGCCGTGATATTGTACGCGTTTGAACATGCCGCGGTAGCCAAACGTTTCCGAACATGGTACCACGATGGTTAAATATACAATAATTGAACTTGCCGCGGACGCCGAGCAATCTCTGCTCTTTGACGATGTTGATATATATCGAGGGTGCGCGAACTTGCCGCGGATGCTGTAGATTATTTCTGGGACTGGCTCAATGAATGTTTTTAAACTTGGATTCGATGTGACAAATATCTCAGAACTTGATAGACGCTGTTTCTTGCTCTTATAAATGCTTGATAGTTTTTTTTTATTCGATAAAATGATAAATTGACTAAATTTCCTGAATCATTAATCTCGTAAGCGTTACAGCATCTAAGAATCAAATGATATTAAAGTAAATTAATAATTTGAACATTACTTTTTGAGAAATAAAAAAAAAGTATGTTCCCTATGCATCCGTGACAAGTTGAGACCCTCGATGCCGCATTACAGAAACATCGTCACGAATCCGCCGGTTTTCTTAATAATAATCTTTGCTCAATTGTAAAGAATCGAAGAAAGTCTAAAGTATGCACGACTCATCGTGTATGTACCATCAGCCGCAGTATAGTGACGTCAATTTTCTTCTTTAAAACCCCCTTTCACCAGTTCATCGTGTTGCGATAATCTCGACAAATGATGTGGAATGTAGAATTCGTTGAATGGGCGCATGCACTCTCTTTCACGCGTTTACGAAATATATCGAAATAGCTCTTTCTATGAAATATCATCATTCAAAATCATCGCCAGATTATTCTGATGTCAAGAGTCTGCTTTACTTTAATTTCGCGGAACGATTAAGAAAGTATTTTTAATTTTATATATAATGCGATATACCATTGTTTCTTAGTTAACTCTCGAGTCTTTGCAACAGGGCATTCGATTTTCTCTTTTTTCGTCCCCAGTTGTTGCCACTTTAAAGGTAATACACATCTCTAGAAATGGCGTCGCGCGCTAAATCCGACATGTGCGATCGACGAGGATCTAATCACGCGAGAAAGACAGATGGCAATCGGAAGAGAAAGAGAAAGAGAGAGAAATAATTTGACGGAAATCGAACAAGAGAGACGACGATGGCGCGCAAAGTTTTGTGTGGAACCCTTAGAAAATTATTTTTCTTTCAAAATCATCATTCCTGTCGATCCGCCGGTACGCTTCGTAAACTCATTAGGCGGCCCTTGTTCCCGCCATCGTTAATTGAGTGTCGAGGTGAAACGAACGACACGGAATTATCATTCGAATCCTTCTTGTTAGGCATCAGCGTCACTTCGTCCGTCTCCTTTCTTGCTCTTTCTCTCTCTCTTTCTCTCTCTATCTATCTCTCTCTACTTTCTTTCTCCGTTTCGCTCGCGCTTTAAATCTTTCTTTCTTTCTCGAGAATTCGTCATTTTTCAAAGCGACACAATCGACCGACAAGTCTATTGTAAAAGAAGAAATCCGTTCTTCTGCTGCAGCAGAGTGTCACTTTGCGACACACATCCGGATCAAATTTATTGTAAGTGTAATCGTAAGTACATTACGATGTGTTACATGTAGGTGCGAAGAAAATAATCGATGTCGTTCTCTCGGAGGAGAGAACAAGGCTCAATTGTCAAACGAAGGAATATTTCTCGCGTCGTTTAGCGAAGTCTACGTTGGTGCATTGATTGTTAAAGTTGACCGATACGCAAAAGATACATATATATATATATATATATATATATATATATATATATATAGACAGATAGACAGAAACGTTTGCGTTTGCCAATAACAAGTTTATAACTTTCTCGAAAGAGGAGAGATCCTTCAATCCTTCTCTCGTCGAGTTTAATTTAAAATTCTTCTTTGTCGCAGTCCTTAAATTCTTGGCATTCATTTGCGAATTTCTTCCAAGAGTAAAATCGCATGTGTGTTACCGCTGCAGGCGGATGTTTACAGCAGCTAGTGTAACGTGTAACGCTGAGTGATACAACTCGCGGCAGGCAAAAAAAAAGTTACATCGACGTGTAAACGCGAATCGAAGCTCAAAGCCCAAAGCACGAAGGATTTTCGGCGCGAAAAAAATGTATGTCAGCGAAGCGCGAAAGGTTTTGCATGCTCGTTTTTTTTTATTCATCAAAATACTCTCGTTTCAATTTTAACGACCCTCTCCCGATCGATTAATTTATATCCTTGGAAAGTTTCGCCCGAGAAACTTGTCGCGGGTAAATTAAGCCGTGATTGAAAAAAAAAAATATCGTGCGCCGCCGAAAACAAATTCATTCCCGAATGAAAAATCTCTCATCGGCGTGCTCGAGAGAATCATGTATGACTTCACGGATTCAGAAACTCGAAACGAAGCGCCTCGGAAAGAAGAACGAATCACTAGTCGACGCCGCCAAGGATCAAAATCTGATTTCTGTCTAACATGACTCTGTGGGCAGCGACGCTGACGGAGAAAGTGAGAGAGAAAAAGTGCTGTATACAGAGAGAAGGTGTACAATGTAGGTCGAATAAGGAGTCGCGCTGGATGGATGGATTATGTCAAGGATGCACAAACTTTTTCGGCATCGACTCGAATAAATCGATATTACATTTGTGTGCACGCGAATATAGATATTAATACGAGAAGTAAATCTCATCATATTTTTTTCTCCCTTCACCTCACTCTTTCTCTTTTCTCTCAAATCGATCAATTCTATTTACGTAATTAAGCAATTACATTTTTATTCGGATCAAAGTTTTGGTTTCGTCATCTCTTTGAACTCGAGAACTGACGAAACGCCGAAAGATTCGGTCCGAAGTTTGTGCATCATTGGAACGTGTAATTTAATCTTGTATATATATAAGGTACATTTTGTATATTGTTAAAAAAGTTTGTGTGATATAAATGGTTATGTATTTACTATCGAGCGCGAACGGCAAACGGGGCTTCCGCGCGATTATTCTACAGGCGATTAGCCGACGTGCGCGACGTGCCATGTGGTTTCTTTTCTTTCTTTTCGCGGTCCTGCATCGCCAAGTGCGTCTTCCTTCTGGCCACACCTCTGTGTGTCGACGACAGAACGCGGAAGATGACTTACGATCATCGGCTCCCTCCGATCGACGCTCTGTTCAACGTAATCTCTTCGTCGAATTCTTTGTCTTTCGGGTCGAGCGCGTTATTATCAAATTTGACATCTCGCATTTTGATTGCTTCGACATCGGCATCATCTCTCAGCTCGATCTGTAATATATCTGTAATAACTATGTAAAATATTATGTTACGTAACCCAGGTAGCAAGCATACGTCACTTTGACGCCGAGTGACGTCATTAGACGCTACAATGACGCCACTTTGACGTTTGATGATGTCAGTAGACGTCACAATGACGTCAGTTTGCTACTTGGAATGTTTTATATTACTGTGTGAAATATTTGCATAGTTACGAGTCGAACGACGACGCGATGACGCGAGTCGCGCACTTGGCGGAAGTGGGACGCGAGCACGGGATGTCCCTCCGGTTGCTGACGATGAGAAAAAGGGCACCGCGAAGCCGGTCCCCCCACACGCGCGCGTCTAGTTAATTTTGTTATTTCATTTATCTCGGACTCTTCGTACTCGGGACCCGACATCTCTGTATGTGGTTTCGCGGCCTCTTGTAAAATACAATTACACATGGAACACACCATACACGTTTATTAATTAATAAAAAAATCACAAGTTTTTAGAAAACGAGTACAGTGTGTATCCCCTATCATTGATGTCTCCCTCTTCTCGCCAAATCCTCAACTCTTCTATCAATGCATGGACACCCAGGCGACTTTCAAGGTGACGTCACTTGACGTCTAATGATGTCACTTTGCTACAAATCAACAACTGTTCTCCACCCGAAACAAAATGTAAAAGACTTATATTCGAAAACCTATCTAACGAAGAGGACACTGTTGCTACTTGGGTATCCATATCGATAGAAAAATATAGATTACAGACAGAAGGGTCAATGACGTGTTAAGAATGATGATAAGGTTCTCCGTACACGACGATTACACGGTAAGTATAGAGAGGGAGCGAGATATATCGGTTATCTGAGAGAGGAGGCGAGGAAATCGAAACTATTCTCCATCCTTCCTTCCTTATCTCCCAAGTCGGTCGCAAGCAAGAGCGGGCGAATTAATTCGAATGATTTGAATGTTTCGTCGGCGGCGGCGGCCGGTTTTCTGTCAACTTCCCGGCGCGCAAATATGCGCGCGCGGCCCCGACATTCCCCGACAGTCAAGATAGGTATTTAACGGATGTACACGTGTCCGACCATATTGCGTTTGTGTCGTTCGATAAATAGGTGGCTAAGCAACTCCAACGGAAACCCGTGTTAATTAACGTTGAGTTTCAGGACTGATTTACGTGGCGTCTAATTAGCGGGCCTGCCGGCGACGTAGTAGGCATTTTGATTGGCCACACCGCGAATAGAACGCCGATTGGCCTTGCCGGTGTGTCGTATCGATTGTTTTCGTTTCTTCTCCTCCTCCTCCTTTCTCTCTGTCTTGTTGCTCGTTCTTAAAAACAAAGGCCGACTGGATGCGGCAAAGCGTGTGCTTTCGAAACGAGAATTCTCCCAAAACGAAACCCCGTCATCAACCAAAGTGGAATATATATGTACTCGTGTATATTAAATAAACAGGGTAGACTTTAGTATATATATATATATACATGCTAGATCATTATAAATAAGTGAAGAATAAAAAGTACCAATATATAGTGTTCCAATTAATGGTAGATTCTTGGGATTATTTGGATTTTCCTCAGTGAAAATGTTGAGCTATTGAAAATAAAGCCTTGTAGAAATAAAATGTTAACAAAACTAGATTTTTCAGATTAAATTTAAGACTTTTAATTTAAAGCTTAATTATAAAGATATATGATGGCGAAAGTTGGGAGTTTGCAAGAAATGGTGACCTTTTATTTTCATTGAGGAAAAATTGTCTCCAAACAACCTGAAGAATATCTCTCATTAACAGGTAAGTTTGGGACATTCTGTACATCAATTTTCAGAATTTATAAAAATCAATTTCTCTCGTTGTACATATATATAGGATGTAATAAGTGCGAACAATTTTAGGGGATGATTCTTTGTCAAAAATTAAAGAGGGTTTTTTTATATAAACATATATACTCTTACTTCCCTTCCTTATAATTAAAAAAAATATTAATAAATATTCTTTTTATTAGTGGAAAATATCCACCAAGTTTTCTTTTTTAATTTGTCTGTTTAAATTTGAGAAAAACAGGGAGTGATATAAAAAAGTATATATATATATATAAGAAACTCTCCTTAATTTTCGACAAAATATATATCATCTAAAATGTTGCACACTTAATTAGGTACACCCTGTATATGTATTATATGTCGAAGAAGAGAGAGCCTGTTTTTTCATTTCAATTTTTTCAGTGGTAAATAGAACTAAGACGGTGTTCGTTACACGAAGAAGAGTGAAAGAAAAGGAAACTCTCCTCGTTAATTAAACCGCGTGCAACCATCGCGTTCTAATCCTTTATTTGCCGGCTGTCTTACGTTTACAAGCGTATCAATTAAATCCGGAATCAAACAAGCGCATTACCAGAGTATACGCGCTCGTTAAACTTATGGATCTATCACTGACGTAATTCATTAACCTCTTTAGGCCGTTGCTTTTTTCTTTTTTTAATTGCGGCAGGTCATTATATACGTTAATAATTGCGAAAGCGTAATTAAGAATCTCTTTATTTTATAAAAATTTTTTCTCTTTTACTCGAGCATTTTTTCTCCTTTTATAAAAACTATTTTTTTTACCTTATAAAAATCTTTTTATTCGCGTGACGAAAATTTATAGATACTAATTCCGATGTGAAAAGACAATAGGTACACACATATACACGCATACATACGGGCTCTCACAATGCGATCTTGAGTATGAACGGCGATGCATTTCGAAACGTCAAGCGTGTGCAGTTTCTTGAAGTTTTGCAGCAATTAACAGTCGACGGCGAATAACAAACTGATTTAATTAATTGCATAACTGCGAGCAGAGAGGCGGTTCTCTCCCTCTTTCCTCTCCCTCTCCCCCTCCACCCCCCGCCTACCCTTTCTACCTCTCCCCACACTTCTAATCGAAGCGGGTACATATTGTTGCACCCGTTGCGCTCTACCCCTCATCAGCCCCACCGGCAATTAATTATAGCATTCCAGGTTAGCCCGGGAATTAATTACGTCCAGAAGTTGGACGCTGGCGAGGGATCGTTAGAAATCGTCCTTCGTTAGAGTTAGGCGGGCATAGGTCCAGGTAATTATTGATAGTCTCTCTTCCCTTCGTTGCACCCCCATAACCAGGATTGCTTAGAAGGGCCGTACATAGGGCCAGGTAGCAGGCGTACGTCATTTTGACGTCATTAAACGTCAAAGTGACGTCAGTTTGCTACTTGGATACGTATGTATTTTTAACACCTTTCCGGCAAGAAATGGGGACTCGCGAATGCTTGGATCCTTCAGTTGGATCCTGAGTTGTCAAAAATTATTTTTTAAAAATTCCTTCGTCGAAGGACAAAAGTTCTGATAGGCTGATGCGATCATCTCGCAACTCAAGCAACAAACTGACGTCATTTTGACGTTTAATGACGTCAGTTTCCTATTTGGGTACGTTTTAACACCTTTCCGACAAGAGAAGGAGACTCGCGAATGCTTGGATCCTTCAGTTGGGTCCTGAGTTGTCAAAAATTATTTTTTAAAAACTCCTTCGTCGAAGGACAAAAGTTCTGATAGGCTGATGCGATCATCTCGCAACTCAAGCAACAAACTGACGTCATTTTGACGTTTAATGACGTCAGTTTCCTATTTGGGTACGTTTTAACACCTTTCCGACAAGAGAAGAAGACTCACGAATGCTTGGATCCTTCAGTTGGGTCCTGAGTTGTCAAAAATTATTTTTTAAAAATTCCTTCGTCGAAGGACAAAAGTTCTGATAGACTGATGCGATCATCTCGCAACCCAAGCAACAAACTGACGTCATTTTGACGTTTAATGACGTCAGTTTCCTATTTGGGTACGTTTTAACACCTTTCCGACAAGAGAAGGAGACTCGCGAATGCTTGGATCCTTCAGTTGGGTCCTGAGTTGTCAAAAATTATTTTTTAAAAATTCCTTCGTCGAAGAACAAAAGTTCTGATAGACTGATGCGATCATCTCGTAACCCTACAACCCAGCAACAAACTGACGTCATTTTGACGTTTAATGACATCGTTTGACGTCACAATGATGTATACGTTTGCTATCTGGGAAGGATTTATAGGACTAGATAGTAGAAAATAAAATAAGTAAGGAATAATAAACGATATTCTTCCAAGGAATCTGCTCCCCTAATTGTAATGATAACACTTGTTCATGTATTCCTTAATCCCTTCTACTTGTTAACACGACTTTGGGGATACAAAAAGGATCGTTAGCGCTCACAGCATGTTTTATGACCGTAAGTACGGGCATAGATACATATAAAGGGTGTTTCTAAAATTATGTCAGAGGTTTTGAGAGCGTATTCTAGTAAAGTAAAAGAGAAAAAGTTCCGATAAACATGGCTCCAGAAATGCTTTTCCTTCAAGTTGTAGCTCTTTAAACTTGGAAGGAAAAATCGAAAAAGCTACAAAACATTTTTCGATTTTTTTACCCATCTCGATCGGAGGAAAAGTATTTTTGAATCCACGTTGATAGGAAATTTTTTTTTTATTTTGACTCTTAGAATATGCACCCTTAAAATCTCTGACATAGTGTTGTGGTTAGATAATTTTAACTAGATAAAGATGAGATGAAAATATGTAACTTTATCTTAGATAAGATGAAGAGATGATTTTTTAAAATATTAAAACATCAAATTAAATAGCAATTTATCTGGATAACTTCCAGATAATATTATTTAACACAGTTAAAAAATATATAAATTATAAAAGGGATAAAAATATATTCATATTTTTATTTGTAAGTTCTTATTGCTTACTGCTTAAGTATTTTTATATGTTATGACTCTAAACCAAATTACTTGAATATTATTCTAGATAATTTAAGGGAAAAAATTGTATGCGTCTATATAAGATGACGCCAAAATTTTATCTAGACGATTATCTATATAATTTTATTTAGATAACAGCAAACACTGGACATAGTTTTAAAAACACCCTGTATATATTTGAGCAAAGTTCACCAATTGTATTTTTTGACAGATAGAGATAATTTCTAAACCTCGACAATCGAAACGAATATAATTTCGACAATTATTGCTCGATCTTTTAATTTTTCTTCGAAACACCTGTATTTTGAATTAATTTAATTAATAAATCGATTGTTGCGTGGACAATGAGATATCTTTAAGAGGACTATAACTCAATCAGAGAAAAACCATTTTTGGATCCATATTTTATAGGAAATTTTTTTTATTTTGACTCCTAAAATACACCTTTAAAACCTTTGACATTTTAGAAACACGCCGTATATATTCGAGCAAAGTTCGATTGTATTTTTTGACAGATACAGATAGAGATAATTTCTAAACCTCGACAATCGAAGCGAATATAATTTCGACAATTATCGCTCGATCTTTTAATAATTTTTCTCCGAAACACCTGTATTTCGAATTAATTTAATTAATAAATCGATTGTTGCAAGGACAATGAGGTATGTATCGACGAAGAAGGGGCTGATTAAAACGTTTGATTAACGATGGAGGAGACGCGCGACGCGATATTATTATTGTTTCGCAACGTGACAAGTAATAAGACTTGCGCATCAAAATTCCTCGCCAAATTTCTTCTTTACAGCGCATGACAGATACACGGCGGAATGGAAAAATAAAAAAAGGGGTGAGAGAGAGAGAAAGAGGGAGGAGGGGTTCGGTTGACACACTGGCGAGGCAATTATTATTGTGAGTGGTTGGCGACGGGGCTCCAATGATATTTTATTTAAGAAACAATCGGGTAATAGCTCGCTTCAAGAGAGGAGAGATAGATAACGCGCCGGGGAAAAGATAGAGAGCGAGCTACGAGAGCGAGAAAGGGAATTACAGAGAAGAAGGAGCGCAGAAAGGAACGAAGGGAGAGAGAGAGTAGAGTATATGGAGCCGGGAAGAGAGGAAGGAAGCGAGAGGGCGAGAGGGTGGAAAGATGAGGGGAGGTAAAAGGTGAACTTTGAGACGCGCGGGCTGGTATCAGGGTGGCTCTACATTAGCGAATTACCCGCGCGCAGATCCCTCGACGGTGAACAATAAATACAGGGTAATCCGGAAATATTGTTCGAAGGATTCGGTAAATTCCGCAAAAATCAGTAAACCGCTTTATACATTTTTTTATACAGCTTTACTCTCTCGCTTCGACCATATATACAATTTTATTCTCTCTCTTTCTTTCATATATAGGGGAGGAAAAGGGAGAGAAAGTAATATCAATTTGGATCTTTTAAATCTAATCTTTAAACAGCTTGGAAAAGGCGTACAGCTGTCAAATTAACGCTTTTAAGCGCATTTCGTAAGCGATTTCTCTCAATTGCGCATTGGTGTATAAGAAAGGAATTATTTTCGCAATAATTTTTACATACCTGAAGAATTGCACGATGACGACTCGATAGAACTTCGTGATTTCAAGATCGATACGCGTCTGTAATCGCGCCTAGTGCACGTGGCACCCTCATCAGACGAACTGGCAGAATTAACTGAGAATTTTGGAAGGAAAAAGTGAACGGTGGCGCTATCTAGCGGCGAGAATTGTAAAAACGTCCGCAAACTAGTGTCGCTCGAAAAATATCGAAGACTGACATTGAATCCTACATAACCTGTCAAAAATAAATATTATTCTCAAAGGAAGAGGAGTATTCTCTTATCTTCGATAAGGATATGGCAAACGGTAATCACTGCATGTACTTTGTCAAACGGAAGAAACGTTTCTGCCGCATGACAGTTGGCGAAGGTAAGGATTACTGCGGCGAGCATCGGCAGGACATCGCTGATCCTGAGGACTCCGGTGACAGGAGGGTCAAGTGTCCCCTGGATCCCACGCAGCAAGTATTTACATTAATTAAAATTAAAAGAGTATATTCATGAAAGGGAGTGGGATTTTTCCACGGTTTCCCGCTTATCTAATCGACGTGGCTCTTTCTAGCACGTGTTATCAGTCGAAGCTGAGGAAACATCTGAATGTGTGCAACGCCAAGCGGGAGCTGGACGTGCAACCTACATTCATCGTCAAGGGAGTCAACTTGGACGAGGAAGTCATAGTGGCGTCACCTCATGTGCCATTGTCGCAGCTTGATGGGTCTGTGTTGGAAGCGGTGATAAGAAAGATCCACTCTGCCTATGGTAAAATTATAAATGTTATGGAATAAATAAAATATTTTTAATGACATGATATATCTTTATATTTATATATTGTATCTTGTACAGACAAGTTACCAGACATTTCTCAAGCAATACTGCAGCATGACGTGCTGAAGAGCAAATTGAGGGATGAGACCTGCGGCAGCAATGTTAGGAAACATTTGCTGCAGAATGCATCTCTACTTGGACATTTGGAACAAGCTGGTCTTGTGCATGATGACACTTGTTTTATTGAATTTGGGGCAGGAAAAGGTATCTTGATCAGATAAACTTTTTGACTTTCTCAGTTTTTGATATTTAAGAAAAATTTATTTTTTCTCTTGGGTGTCTCGCATAAATAAATTGTTTACATTATAACATACAATTAATCAGCTGTCATTTTTTAATACATGCAGTTATTGAGAAAACAAAAATTATTTTGGAAAGAGAAAAGTGCAGTTTTTAATGGATATAAATAAAATATTTGTATACCAGCTAATAATCACACAAAATTACGTAAACTAATGATAAATATTCAATAATGCTAGATTTAACAGCAGCTATTAAAAGGATCGTCAATAACATTAAAAATGACATGTTAGAAGAAGTTTTTACGAGTTTGTGCAAAGAAACAGAATTTTGTACAAATTTAAATGGTGTGTACTTTTAGAAAATACTTACCATTAGTTTACATATGTGATTATTAGCACTTTTTTCATTACTTTTTTTAATAAAATAAATTGGTATACAAATATTTTATTTATATCCATTAAAAACTGCAGATTTTCCTCTTTTTAACACAATTTATGTTTTCTCAGTAACTGCATGCATTAAAACATGACAGCTGATTAGTTTCAGCAACTTCCTATGGGACACTCTGTATATATTAATGTAATATATTTATTATATTTCTCGACTATAATTTTCGACCATAATTTTGGTCCTTCTCAAGTGTACTGTTAAAGTGTCATCGACACAACGGTGGTCTTTTCTTTCTCTCTTTTTTAAATATTTTAACAGTACACTTAAAGAGGACTTAAGTAAATAATTGCCAGTATTGGTCGACAAATATTTATTGCTTTAATTTTTTTGACTGGCGATAATAAAGCATATTCTAATCAGTAGTATTATATTAATATTTGAAATTTTAATTGTTCAACAGCTTTATTAACATACTGGTTGGGGCAGATCATAAAAGACAAATCGAATTCTTGCGTCTTGGTGGTCGACCGTTCGAGTCATCGGCACAAGAACGACAACAAACTTAGGAAAGAGGACAATCGCCTCGTGATAAAGAGGATACGCGCCGATATCGCCGATCTGCGACTGAACCAGGTCCTGGAGATCCAGCCGATCAAGTACAAAGTCGGGATAGCGAAACATCTGTGCGGCACAGCCACGGGTATACATATTTTATCGTCATTGTTAACACAAATGTTCATGTTCCCATATTTCCTAAATCAATGACGTCGCATTTGCAGACCTGGCGATACGTTGCTTGACAAAATCGATGAACAACGAGCCTAAGGTCGACGTTCGCGGCTTGGTTCTCGCATTTTGCTGCCACCACAAGTGCGAGTATTCGTCTTACGTGGGCAGAGAATACCTGCGACAATGCGACTTCACCGCAAATGACTTCTCAGTTTTATGCAGCATAGTTAGTTGGGCGACCTGCGGTTGTCGTTTAAAAGGCAAACCGCAACTCGACAACGTCGACTGGTCCCAAAAATTGGACGAACGCGAACTTATCGGACGCAAGGCTAAAACCCTGTTGAATTGGGGTCGCTTGTTTTTCCTCCAAAGCATTGGATTTAAGACCGAGCTGTTTTATTACACCTCTACCGACGTTTCCCTGGAAAACATGTGTATTGTGGCTACAAGAGACTTGACATGATGGCAATATTTAACGTAATCATTCCTATTTTAATTATCGGTGATTTTATTAGCAATAAATGCATATTTCTATATCATTCATATTTTTTCAATTCATTGATAGTACTATTGTCACCATCTGTCATCTATCTTTGGTTGCACCTGCTTGATTACTAACTGCCAGTAAAACAGACTATATAGTCACAAATAACTTCTCCCCTCTATACTGGATGCCCCGCCCAATACGAGTGATCTAAGGCTATTCAAACATTCCAACGCACAAGAGCGATGCGCAAGCAGTCGGGTGTTTTTAACGCTTTACTTGTGTAAGATATTGTTATATTACCAAGCGAAAAATTAATAAAGACGACGCGACACGAGAAAGAGAAAAAAACATTGGGTACGTACAAGTTTTCACCATGTACACGCTTAATCCTTGTCAACTTAACGTACGCGTGCTTCTCGCTGACCTATTTTAGGGCTCTTGTGTATTTACATAACATACGTATGCGAAGGTAACAATAGAGATATCTTTATGGCTAATTGCTCACCAACTCTAATCCGTAATAAACTTGCAACGTGTAATTTTCTCTGCTTCGTGATACGTCCAAGCCACGCCTGAAGGCGTCGAGACGGCTCTTCTTCTAGCCGCATTGAAATCGACTCCCTTTTTTTTCTTTTTCAGCGAGTGTTAACGTTGTGACATGTCCATTCTAGACGAGCGCGACGATTACCTGAAGAATCCGTACTTCAAGGGACACGAGTACGGTGACTTCACACCGTTCTACGTCGCAATAGCCCTCTGCACCGCCTTGGGTGGAGTCCTGTTCATCCTCAATATCGTATTCTGCTGGTGCACGCGGCACCGAGAATATTGGCAGAATCGCCACACCGGTGAGTCAGGAATTCCATTTTCTACCTAGCTTGTTTAGCTTGTCTTATATTCTACTTCTATGGATGCACCCAACTCTGATACAGTGATATTCTTTAATATTGTATCTATTTAATATTGTATATATTCTTTAATATTGTCTTTTTCCTATTCTTTAATAGTGTATTGTTCTATTGGGATTTAGGTAATAGGTGGATCCAGCCTCTGTGGACTGTATTGCCGCACAAGACTCCACCACTTGATCTAAGTGAACTGGAAACTGGACGTATCAAGTATCCACAAGTGAGGCACGAAATCATCCAGTACCACGATACAGAGCCACAGGGAGGCACACCGCTGCCACAGGAGTACCTAGAGATGCAAAAGCGCGAGAGTGAGATCTAAAATAGTTGACCAGCACCAACTAGTGATCAGTGTGGCATTGGAAAGTAGTGAGAGAAATACCCCCTGCTTAAAAATACGTCTAAAGCGAAGAGAGTTTAATTGACTCCAATAGAGTCTAATTAGCCCTTTGCGCTCGGTTAATCTTAATTGTAAAGCCTTTGACCCGGCTATCATTTTATTAATGCTCTCGCTACCAGTTTATCACCCATAGACACACATTGCTCTGCTTTTACGCGCACATTAGAACTAACTTTTTATTTACATTTTACAAGATAATTTATCGAAAGACACTTGCGAAGCGAGCTATTTTCCATAGTTGCACACGACATTAGTTGCAAACAACCTTGAGGAAGTAATCTCAAGCAGCATAGACAATCTCTTGCGATGGGCTTGCACGTTTTCTGGCCTGCCTCGGCCTGCCTGACCCTCTTCGTAGTTTGCGTCATAATCGTGCTTCTGAAATACGGCACACGTGTCTGCAGACTGCGACACGAACCGCTGCCATCCGATCAGGAGTGGGAGGGTAAAGCCTACTCGAGAAAATTATCCGCTTCCGTGTGAACCAACAGCAAAATGTCCCGAAAAAGTTGCGTCTATAAAATCGTTTTTTTTTTTTTTTTTTTTTTACAAAAATTAAATAGCCATTAAATTAGACCAACATGGAGATAAATTACTCGCAAAATTTTTATAATTCTATTCTTTTTTCGGGACACGCATCTCTTATATATTATATAGACGCAGTATTAGAGTCGTGTAAGAATAATCTGACACATATTCCGTCCATTTGCTGCACATTTGTACTAATGATTTTATATATATATATATATATATATATATATATTAATATATAGACATATATGAACGTGTATGTCATCGGAAATCAGTGTAATATGATTGTTCGAAAGAAATTTTTATATATAGATTCGATCTTAATTACTTTTTTATCTCTTTAACGAGACGTCATTGAGGGAAAATGAATTTTATATCCGTCCAAATCTCTCTTTTGACGTCATTTTTATTATATATCTTTATTCGAAATGATATAATCTCTCGAGCACTTTTGTAATTTTTGTATTAATACATTTACAAATAAAACAAATGTAATAAGAATCTTTTTCCATCTTTCATATTGCTTTGTAAAAATCTATTGTTTCGGGTTAACGCGCAATTTGAGGGAATGGATGGACTTTTCACTCTCTTGTATATATAATATTTTACTTTTATTGACAACATTGGATTTTTTTGTTACATGTGTAATGGTTACACAATTATTTTAATAAGTAAGTAGATGCATTATACAATTTTTATAGTAGTTTTTAAAGAAACTTACAGACTTTATTTTTTTGGAGAGAGAGCTACATCTTTTATATTCAGGAACTATCCTAAACTATGTGATCCGAATATAAAAAGAAATACTGAAACCGCGTGATAAACAATTTAAACGAATATTTGTAACATTTATCTATCTTTCTCTCTCTCTCTCTCTCCCTTTCTCTTTAAATCGTTAATTGCAAAACATTGCAATCTATACAACAAATCGATGCTTTTGGAAAATGTATTCATTTAATCTTCTTGTATCAACCAAATACGTATAAAATTTTCTGCAATTTGTAGAGACCAACAGAAGTGGCTAAAAAAATCTATTGCAATTTTTATAAAAAAGTTACACTAAGATTAAGAGATGAAACCATCAACAAGATCGATTATGAAAACCAACGATCCGTATAATAGAACGTGTGTGCTCTAATTTTTTCTTTAATTCTGACGAATAAAATTCGGAACGATCCTCTTATTATAATATCTAGAATATCTAAGAATTTTTCTAAAAAAAAAGGTGCACGCAGATGGTAAAAGATTATCTTGGAAGAAATCTAGAAAGGGATTTTTTCTCGCAAGAGAAAAATAATGTTTCGATATAAATCGATTCTTCTAGCAGCCTTGATATAATTTCGTAGATACTGATATATAATTATATCGAAATTTAATTCGTACATGAAGTTTTTAAAATAAACGATACCACCACATTGAGAAATCTATTTCGACATTTCTTCAAAAACAGACGTTCGTCACTAACGTGCACCCTTTCCGAAACGTCCTGTATAATTTTATCGAAGGATTTGAAAAATTAGTTTCTAGATTTTTACTGATTCGTATTCCCTATCATGCTATGTTACAATGCGATTAAAACATGAAGAGCTTCCTGCGAGCTCCACACAGAGAAGTCAAGCACGAGACTCCTGTTGCACCTGTTTCACATTAAGAGGCGTAATTACATCGCGCATTTGAAATCCTTGCTTAATTTCCTACAACCATATCACGCACAGGATCCGACAGCGAGAGACGAAGAGGAAGATGAAATTGCATTTTGTTAAAAAAATGTAGAGTACACATTTTCTCGCAGAACGACCCTCCTCAAAACAATCTGCTCTTGGGTACAAAATCGTCGTTGTCATCAGATGATCCTCATCTCTGGAAAATTATCGCTTATGTAATTAGCGCTTATTGCGAAACGGATGCGACGTTCGCGTTTCGGAAACATTTAATGTTTTCAACCGGCATATACGAGTCCACTTTTTATTTATTTTTTTATTTTGCCATTATGTGTCTTAAAATATAAACTGGCCTTATCGCAGCTTTTGGCAATCTGTAGTTTCGACTTTGAGTTAATTTATAGTTATGTCGTTCGATGGAATTGAATCTACCGGTTGAAGAATTAACAAGGACAGAGTAATTAGAGAAGACCGAGGGTGTCTACTCCCTGGGAAAACCTGGAATTTTCAGAGAATTTTTTATCTTGAAACTACAAATTACATTTTCGGGATTCGGGCAATTTTGTAAAAAAATATTTCTTTGATTAATTTTGCCTTTATATGCAAGTTGCAACTACAGTGAGAGACGCACATCCAGATGAGTCACGACTTTACACAATTCATTGTAATTCATTTCATTACATAATTGATAATGACAGAAAATGTAGTGCGAATACAAAACTTGGTGATTCTTAATTTTTTCGTTTATATAAAATAGAGAGAATATTTTTAAAAAATGCGCACATAAAATGAATAAATTAGTTTCAAAATTCTCCAATCTTTTACTTGGATTTTGGGAGAAAAATATCTAAAAATCAGGGAAATCTCAGGGAATTTTTTTACAAGATTCGAATAGACACCCCTATAGAAGAGAGTCCATAAAACATATAATTCTATCTTAGTCTATCAATAGATTCGCTTTTACGCGTAATGATGATATGCTGTAATACGAGAGCTAAAACTAGGCGCTTGTTGATGACGCGTGCGCTATCATTCCACGTACGGCGTCTACAAATTTTCAAAATTTTCAATTCCTCTCTCTCTCTCTCTCTCTCTTTTTTTTTTTTTTAAATTTGACGGAAGAGCTGATCTTTCAATTCCGCGATTCATTCGAGATAAAATAGAGTCGAGCCTTCATCATCAGTAGAAATTTCCCAGGTAGCAAACTGACGTCATTCGACGTCAAAATGGCGTCACTTTGACGTCGTGACGTCATTTTGACGTTTCATATGACGTCAGCTTGCTACCTGGGTTGTCGCGAGGAGAGACGAGAAAGAAACCTCGTCGTATATCTTCTGAAAATATTTTGTCACAGAAAAAATAATATTATACCCTATTATTATATTCTACGCACTTTTCTAAAATTTAAAAAAAAAGCACGTCGCACGCGGATCGCACACGCGTGCGCAATCAAACATGGCGCGAACAGCTTAACTTCCTCTCACCAGACGAGCCTCTGTATACACCTAGACTTAAAAACAAATACAATCTTTCGAGGGGAAGAAGGGGCGAGGGGAGGGGAAAAGGGGGAATTTGATTTTTCACGTGGTGTCGAAAAGATTTACCAACGAGAATCTCTCTCGTACTTGACGAGACAACGAGACGACGAGATTATTTTAGTTTGATTTTCATGCTCATTCGCTTGCGAGTTTCCATGTTGCCAGTTTATCACTTGAGATATATTATTATAAACGTTAAACTGCGAATATTAACATCGGAAGTGACGACAGTCCAGTCCTGTCAAGGGGGAAGAGGGGAGGCGCCGAGGATTCCGGGAAAATTCATTAGGCTCGCGCGCGAACATTCTGTGTATTTGTATATATATATATATATATATATATATATATATATTTTTTTTTTTTTTCAATATGTTATATTTTTTATTTTTTTTTTTTACGTCTCGACGAATGTCATTTTGACGATGCGATTCTTTGATCTTTTTTGGGGGGGAGGGGGTTCTATTTTGATTTTACAATTTTCTTTGATTCTGCCATTTTGACATTTCTCGCTCATCCCTCATTTTTTATTTCAATTTGCGAACCTTCGCGACGGCGTAAATATCTCCGGAATATCTCGCGCGTGTTATTTATGACACAAGACACAATTACTTTGAACACCGAACATTGTATATTTATGTGACAATCGAATGAAAGCTGTTTAGTATGACAAATATATTGTACATGATTTTTAAGTGTATCTCAGCAGCTAAGTCAAGGAGGGAGGTTGGGAGGGAGGGAGGGAGGAAGAGGGTTACTGCTGTTTTCTGCTGTATGATAAACAATAATAATATTAATATTAATTAATAATCATTGCGGGAAGACGAAAGAACAGCTTTGGCAGACGATCTTATATCTTCTGCGAACCTCCAAAATGGCGGCTGCTTCTAATCGAGGAGTCTCTATATAGTCCTACCCTCGTTGACAATCAATAATGCAGATTTTGCAAGAATATACATACCAGGAGAAACCAATAAAACTTTGTTCCTTTATAAATCCTATAGATTTCTCTGAATTCGAGAGCTATATATGGGAAAATAATTGCGTCATGAATCCAAGAAATTCTTGAATTGATGAATTCGCGGTGATTCAATTGCATAAAAGTGCATCATTGATTGAGTGTCGACGAGCAAAAGCCGGTACTCAATTTCACGTTTTCGTCATCTCAAACATGTATATTATACGTGTCGGTTCCCAATCGATTCTTCGGCTGATTGCGCGGCTTAATCGTCCAAGATCTTGCGTCCAATGTGTCCATTTTTAGAAAAACCTTTACGCGATCAATAACTCTATATACGAGAGAACTCGTCGCAAATTGTGTCAATGGGTTAAATATAAGAGTTTTTACTCGAGTGTAAATATAATTTTTTTGTAATAAACAAACGCGTCTTGTCATCGAAAAAAGTAGAAACGACAACACACAAACGCGACTCTGGACCACGGATTGGTGAATCAATATTTCTCCGAGATATCGCCGAGAACAGATGTGATTACCGAGACGTGCGCACCACATTCCCGAATTATTAACAGCAATTAACCTGTATAATTAATCAACGGCAGGGCGCACCCCTGAAAGCGGTTACAGCAGCACATCACGCGTCACTGCATCCGAAATGCATGATTCCTAGGCAGTAAATTGTATGTAATAAACGCGTTTCGATTGGCGATCGTCGATCCGTCCAAATTTGTGCTCTGCCACGCAATCAATTGATAATTATCGGAGAACAGTATCAATTGATATCAAAGTATCGAGGAAAGAAAGGAGAAGAGTAAAGAAGGGTCGAAGAGAGATGAGAGTGCGCTTTCGTTGCCCAATTAGAGGAGATTATTAGAAGTTGGCGGATGATTACTGCTTGCCCGATTTCTTGTTCGACCGTTCACCTGGAAAGGAAACGAGGAAGATTGGATTTTGTCCCTTGGAAAATTATTCGATCATTCGAGTCGCCTCTCTTTTTACCTTTGGTAGATTTTTTGGTGTTGGTCTCCGGTTTACACCTCTTGGTAAGTCGTCGCGTCTTTTCGCAGGATGGGTCGCTGTTAGCTTTCAGATTATCGGTTCTCGTCATCATCTGGTTCACGCATACGTTCCACGTGCCCTTCTCGTATCGGCATGCTACGGTCAATCAATGATCAATAAGAAACGTTTGTCCATCAATGATCGATTAAGAATAGATGTCCATCTTCTACAGATCCCAAGTAGCAAACTCACGTCACTGAACGTCCAAATGACGTATGCTTGCTGGGATTTAATGTAAATAACGTTACAATCTCACCTTTCTTGCACTTCTTCTGAATAATCTTGGTCTGCTCGCAGGACTTGTCGCCCTTCTTCAGGTTCAGAGTGCGCGACCGCGTATTAGTATTCGAGTCGCATTCCGACCATTGACCCTTTACGTATCTGCACGACGAGGAGCTGCCGGATGCTGCGTCAGCAGATGCGAAACGTCAATAGAAACAATTGAACGTAACGTCGATCAAGCAAATAGAGAGAAAGAGAACAGAGAGAGAGAGAGAGAGAGAGAGAGAGAGAGAGAGAGAGAGACTTTTAAGGATGATGGGGATCGACTTAATTATGCCGTCTGTATATATACGTGCTGTATATACGTACAGAAGACAGTCTGTGCTCGATCGAGTATATTGCAATTTTATCGAGGAGAAGAGGGATTAATTGCAGAAAGAGAGCACTCACTTCGCTCTTTAGTGCCGCGCACTGTCCGTACAAGAACCTCCTTGTCATCCTCCTCCCACAGATCAGCTTCCGCTCGCGCGGTCATCAAAATCATCGACAAGGCGATGGCCACGAAAGCCAAACTCCAGTACAGCTTCATTCTGTGAAAAAAAATTGAGAACACTTCGTTAAACTTTAAAATTAGCATTGTTTTAAATATAACGGAGACGTAGTTTGCAAGCTTCTTCAAAATCGATAGATATTTCTTATAATAAATTCATACAGCTTGGGATTAATATATAAAGTATTAAAAAATTATATATAGGTGTACACAAATGTATATAGATTCTCGTATAATCAATGCAGGCTTAAAAGATTAATATATAAATTATAATAAAATTCTAAAATGTGTACTTATAAGTAGATTTGTAGTAAAAATAGAATAAAATTATTGATATATAAGTACACAAATAATTTTTTGTATAAGTTACTATGAGCTTCGAAAATAAATGTATAAAATATAATAAAATTATATATATAAGTGTACACAAATATATAGATTTTGACGTTGGAAAAATAAGCGCGCTCTTCTTGTTATCTCTTCAATGTTTCTACGTCTCAAGACGAGTTATGGAATGCGTAATCCGAGTATCATCATATAAATTCGATAATTCAGCGATAGTGGCGACTGTATACGGTGTTCCTCTTGAGCTTGGTCAACAAATCGAGCCTTGTGCCGAATTGAACGACGAAGAATCCCACGATAAGTAAGAATCTTCGTAGCAAGATTCGTTTTGCTCTTCTTTTATTTCTTCCAAAAATACTCTAAAATCTTCTTATCTTAGCTATGAAATGTCAATTAAAATAAAAACAAGATTTGGCATTATGATAATTTTATGTACAATTGAGAAATGTCAATAAGTGACATTTAAAAGTAAAAGGTCAACTTGATATTAATTAAAATTAATAATAAAATAGGCGTTATAATTATTTTATCAAATTGAAGGATGAAATAATATTTCAGAATAATTTTCTTACTAGCATGCGACGCACTTTGAATTGTTGTTATCAAAATCCTCGTAACTATCGCGGAAACGTCAGAGAAGATTGGAAGAAATGAGTGCAACGGTCAGTAAGCTCAAGGAGATAAAAATGAATACGCGCGACACAACTAGAATTCTAATAGATTCTAATAGAATGATATTTTTCTAAATTCTCCCTCCTGAAGAACTGGAGCGATCTCATCTTGGTCGTCCGTTGGACTTAATTGAATCCTTTGCGGGTTCTCGTTCCAAGACCTACTTGTCATCATCGGGCGGAGAAGATCCCCAGGAGATAATCGCAATGAATCTTAACGAGAGCGGAGCTCGTTTGCTGCTCCGAAAAGTTTAATAACCCGGCACGTTTAACGAACGTCACAAATTCCGTCGAATTTAACGTCGACGTGTGCGATGACACCTTTTGTCGTCCGTTCGTCGATTCTCCTCGACGTATCGTCGACGCATCGTCGATGACGTATCCCTTTAATAAAGAGATTAACGATTTTTTTCCATTATCTCTCCCCTCGTGATTCACTAGCTGTGACTCATTAAAAGGGAACCTCTATGATGTTTCAATTGAATTTTTATTTCAACCCTTCTGTCGTGCATAATATTTCACCTTTTCATCAATGTATGGACGCTAACTGCATATTTCGATAAATTGCATAATCTTTTTATAGCAGCTGCTAGACATTAAATATTCTTCCCTATCATATTTCAAAAGGTTTCTTAATACAAAGGCTTTTTGTTTTGAGAGGACAAAAATTCCGATACATTTTTTCTATTATCTCTCCTCTCACAATTCACTGCTATGATTCATTAAGAACTTTTATGATGTTTTAATTTCAAGTTCAATCGAACTTTGATTTTAACCCTTCTGTCAATGTATAATATTTCACTTTTCTATCAATGCATGTATGCTAATTATATATTTCGATAAATTGCACAAGTTTTTATAGCAGCTGCTGGACATTAAATATTCTTCCCCATCATATTTCAAAAGGTTTCTTAATACAAAGGCTCTTTGTTTTGGGAGGAAAAAATTCCGATATTTTTGTAAGATGTAAAGTTGTTTTGGGTACCTATTCATTAACAGAAGAATTAAAACTAACGAGTTTTTTTCTATTATCTCTCCCTTTGTCGCGATTCACTAGCTATGCCCCATTAAAAGGTCTCTACAACGTTCTAGTTTCAGATTCGATTAAAAGTTCTATCAATATATAACATTTCATCTATCAATGCATGGATTTCTGAGTACCAACTGTGTATTTTTGATAAATTGCACTGCAATCATTTTTTTATATCAGCTACCATCATATTTCAGAAGATTTCCTAATACAAAGGCTCTTTGTATTTTGTTTTGGGCGGAAAAAAAGTTCGGACACATTTTTTAGGTATTATTCATTGCCGCGATTTGCTGATTCATTAAAAGTCTCTACAATGTTCCATTTTTAGGTTCAATTACCATTTCATTTTAACTCTTCTATCAATGCATAATATTTTATCTTTTCGTGAATGTTCCCAACTGTTAACTACAATTTTTGAATAGCAGCTGTTGGACGTTCAAATACTCTTTTCCTTATTTCAGAAAGTTTCTAAATAAAAAAGACCTTTGTGTATTTTGTTCGAGGCGATAAAAAGTTCCGACACATTTTCAACATTTAAAGTCTGCTTTGGGTACCCAGATACCGTTCATTGACAGAAGGATTAATTAAGATTAATGAATTCTTTTCAATTATCTCTCATCTCGACTTGTCAAAAAGTCCAGAGGACGACGTCGCAATTTCGATTAGAATTTAATTTCGAACGAAATTTTCAGCGCGCGAAAATCCCGCGAAAGGACGCTGATTATCATCAGAGCTTCTGTTCCGTCGTGCTTCGGAAGCTGGAGGATTGATTTATCGGAGGGTGCGCGACGATACGCACGCATAAACGATTGACTCAAGGTCTTTCCTTAGATCGATGCGGTCGCTTCGCGTATGTGAATGTGTGTGAGGCAATCGCCCCGCAAACTAATAGCCGGAGAAATTAATTAATTACTCGATGATATACAGTCGGAAGAGACAAATTCGGTGACCGACACTTTCACATCTCTCAGCGGTGATAAATTATTCTCTGTGCGCCGTATATATCGAATCTACATAGTATAAGCCATGAATACGCATACAGTGCCATAATTTCAGTCCGCTCCGCCGAATCCGAGGGATGGATGGGGATTCAAGATTCAAAGACGAACCTTTCCGAGATCCTGCGAGTTCAGCTTCACTTCAAAGCTTCTCCGGGGCTCTCAAAGCTCTCTCCGATTCGAAAATTCGGATCAGAGGGTCGAAACGCGAATATGATTGAAAGACAGAGAGATGAAGGCATCAAATCCAAGGATATACATATAGATGAGAGGTGAAAAAGGAGCCGATGAATCTAAATCGATCCTTTCGTCGATGAATGGGTATCCGTATACCTGAAGCAGCTTTAAATGTTAAAATATAAAGGATGTTTGTATTCCTTTAAGGTTCCCGTCGTGTCATGTTGAATTGTGATGCCAAAGGCGAGAAAATCCCTGCGTGCCATTTTTAGATGAAAAGATATTTTGAAGAAACAACACTATGAAACTACTTTTTCCTCTTGACAGTCAATCAACAGCCGTAAAATGATCCTGATATCAGACTTTGTCACACGGAATGGCGCATGTGCAAAGACCAGACGGACTGCACCTCGCATTACAATCATTTTACAGTCATTGATTGATTATAAAGGGAAAAGGATAGTTTTCGGACTATTTTAAAAGTGTGCTAAAGCCATCTGAAGTAATGTTTCATTGAAATAACTTTTTATCTGAAAATGGCACGCAAGAATTTTTAACATGTGCTTCCTCCTCGACTCTGACGTCATGATTTCAATATGGTTACCAAGGAGCCAGGAGCTTAAATTAATCCTTTTGTCGATGAACGGAGCAACTTCAAATGCCGAAATATAAAAGGCTCTCTGAAACCTCCTAAAAAATAAAAAAAACAAGAGTGAAGAAAAATGATTGCAGCGCAATGTGTTGGTACTCGCACACCTGTGTGTTGATAGAAAGATGAAAAATGTTTAAAAATCCCTCCGACACTGTGCGACGTACATTTCACGTCCTTCCAGTCATTCTCTCCATTAGTCGACATTGAAACAATCAGTGCCCGTCAGTAATCTTGGCGAACCAACCACGCACACACATACATGGGGGTACCAATATCTCGGTTCTCCTCCCCTCGCAAATCTCCGCTCTCGCGTTGAAACAATTCGCATAGGGAAAATCGTTCAATTCGCGTACGGATTGACGGAATTGACAAAATTATCGTCGCATCAGGAACGCCGGACGCGAATGAGACGCACGAGAGCGGACGTTGCTCTTCGTTCAAGTTTCGTCGTCGAAGGCCTATTGTCAGCCTCGCAACGATGCGAGAGAGAAAGAGAAAGAAGGTGAGAAAGAAGGGAGAAAGAGATATCGGCGAGCAAAGCAGATAATATGTCGTCGAATATAGACCAGAAGAGAGATACATACGTATCCGGGAGAACGAGGGGACGTTGCCCGATGTCCAGATATACCCACGAGAGTTTGTGGATATTGAGTGCTCTCGTCTCGATTTTTTCCCTCCAATTGCTCCGAAAAAGAAGAGATTATTTTTCTTTAATCAAAAGGAAAACGAAGAAAATTGCTCAATATTGCTAAACACAGAAGGGGAGATAATGAAACGTGCGAAGATGTGAATGAAGTGGAAATTCTCACGTCATACTTGAAGTATGAAAAAGTCTAGAAATGTCCAGAGAACGCGCGTTTTTAATTTATCAATAACGAGGGGGAAATAAATCCGCAGATAAAGCACGACCGAGGCGCGATATCAGACTTAAAAGGCTGACAGCACTGAATTAAGTGCGAAACAAGCGCACGATTTAACGTTACCCCTTTATTGCTGTCATTTAAGACGTATATATATGCTGAATATAAAAATATAAGCGTATGCTAAACTTTTGTGCTCGTCAAAAATATCGCGTTTCTGGAATAAAAAACTTCAATTTACCCCCCAAAGGTAGGCGTTCTTTCGGATTTCCAGTCTCTGGAAAACTTGGTGTTTCAAGAATATATTATTGCTCTCTGAAACTTTCCACAGTTCTACGGAACTTTGATTGTTTTCGAATTCGAGTAGATAACATAAAATACCAACTTATCATCATGACAAGTTAGCGGTTGATATATTCTGACTCAACGCTGAGATATCACTTCCTTCCTTTTATCTTTTTCGGACAATGACAGCTGTACAAAGCTACAGATCAGAAAATGTCAAAATATTTTCACCATACATTTCATCTATTCTTCTATAACTACTAGTTCAGAAGAGACCTTTCATTTATCTTCTGTACTAGATTGTAGAAGCTAGAGGATAGATCGAATCAACATGGAAAAGCTAAAAATAAGCTGACAGATAAGAAAGGGAAAAAATCCTAAAAGATAGAAGCTAGAAACAAGATACAGATCAGAAAATGGACCAAAAGTATTCTCGCTATATATATTCCATCTGTTCTTCTACAACTACTAGTACAGAAAACATATTACATTTATCTTCTGTACAAGATTGCAGAAGTGAGAAGATAGAGTCAACATAGAAGACCTGGGCGACAGATAGCAAGGGGAGAAAATCCTAGAAGGTGAGAAGCTAGAAACAAGCTCTATCCTTCAGCTTCAACGCTCCGCTATTGCGCTCGCGCAAACGGTATATAAATAGCTCGAAAATGAGGGGTTAAAAGGTTACGGCGCGTCTCTGTGCGTTGCGGTCCTAAAAAACGACCCGTGGTGTATCGTTTCGCAGACCTACGCGGCTGGTCACGCAGCTGTAGAAAGTAACGAGGGCAAATTAGTCATCATTTCGCTCGGACGCTTGTGCGACGTAATCGGGACGAATTGTGTTTGCCCCCGCGTTCGTCTGCGAGGAAGAAAATTGCCGACGAATGTGCGTGCGAGACCTCTTATTTATGCTGGAAGAAAAAAAAGACGTTTAATCCAATACAACAATCCTATCCTTTACAATTTCCCTTTCAAATTGGTACATCATCATAGAGAGAAGTATAGGCTTGCGTTTCTTTTTCGCGTTAAACCTCCACCTCTGGACATTTCTAGACATTTCAGGTACTTGCCCAACATGTACAGAGTTCTTGGAAAAATCGCGTGCGAGAAGTTTAATCGAAAATCTAATACGGTTTCCTATCCTTTACACTTCGCTTTTCAAATTGGTACATCATATAGAACAAAGTAGGCTTGTGTTTTTTCTTCGCGTTAAACCTCCACCTCTGGACATTTCTAGGCGTTTCACGTACTTGCCCAACATGTACAGAGTTCTTGGAAAAATCGCGCGCGAGAGGGAGAGACTTTTATGGACTCTAGGAAAGATGCGCGCTTCCATTTCAGGTCGAAGACGGAAGAGCAAAGAGAGAAGAACCGCCGAAGGGTCGGATGGAAGAGATGATGAAGAGAACGAGGGGGAACGAACGGAACGGAAGAAGCATCGATCGTTGTTGCGTCGCAGACGAGCGCGCACCGTTGGAAAAGCCTGCTTTTATAGTTGTGCGCTTCTCCGGGAGAACAACCGCGCGCGCTGGACCAAACGGCAAAAAAATCTCCTCTCTTGGAGAAGAGAGAGAGATTCCAGGGGCGGGTCTCTCCGCTTCGCTCCGCTCCGCTTCGCTCGCTCGCTCGCTCGCGGAAAATCGATCAGCAGCGAGGGCCGGGCGGCGGCATTCCGTTCTCTCTCTCTCTCTGCTCCCTCGCTCCTTTCTTCTTTTGCCCTCTCGTGAGAGGGACAGACTCACCTGTCACGGGGATGCCGAACTATGGGCCAAGCTCAATCAGCTTCCAGGCGCACCACCTCCGGGTCCACTTGGTTCCGTAGTTGCACGACAACGCGTAGCCGTGGAGAAGACACACTCAAGATGCTGCGCAGGGGAGGATGCCGCTTCCAAGTGGCGATGTGATGATGATGATGATGATGATGATGTGACTACGTGCGATGATCGGCGCGTCCGTGCGAGAAGAAAGGACGTGTTGCCTCTTCTCTTGCGATGTCGTCGACTGCTACGTGTTGCTGCCGCCACTGGCACTACTGCCGCCGCCGATCGGAGTCATCCCCCACCCTGGGATCGGTCACGGCGGCATCCCTCAGGCGCCACGCATATCCTCCTTCCTCTCCGCACCGCTCTGCCACTGCCAATCTTCCCCTTCTTCGCCGTCGTCACCATGGTGATCATCCCTCCTAGGAAAGAGAAAGGCGAGACTGGATGAATAGAAATAGAACCATGGAGAGAGAATGAGAGAGAGAGAGAGAGAAAGAGAGTATACAGGAGGTTTCAAAGTTACTTTGGAGCCTCCTAACTAGAGACTCTTGTTGGATCCTTTTTTTATTTTCGGAATAAAAAAAGATATCAACATATGAGCCACACAGTCCATTTTCTGGATGTTGTTACATCTTACACTTGAGAAAAGGAAACGGGAAACTAAATCGTTCTGGTGATAGGCGAGAAATAACGACAACGCGTTACTTAGGATTGCTTTCAAAAATAAACATTTATTTCAAAATTAATGCTTACCATTAATGCTTGTATCCTAAAAACTAAGGTCTCTATCCTAGACACCGATTGTGTTTAGGTGTTGTCTTAAGAAAATCCCTTAAGAATTTACTGCATTGTTAAGTTGTGTACAGTTTGTTTTTTTCCTTTTATAGTACCGTAATGGGTTTTTATAGTGCGAATCCAAATCTTAACCGATTCGCAAAATCACATGATTACCCCCCCCCCCCCCTCCTTCGAACCTACATCTTTAAGAGAGATCAAAACTCCAAAGAGAGATCTCAGAATCGATAGATGCAAGAATTCGAAGACTCGAAGATTCAAGGATTGCAAAATCCGATAAAAGGATTTTGAAATCCGAGCGATTCGACACGAGTCTATAATACACAAGAATTCCAAAGTCTAAAGACTCCAAGATTCAAACTGGATAAAGAAACCCAAAGAGACTTAAGGACTATAGATCCTTAACATTTATAAAAAAAAAACCCGAAAAATTTAACGTCTTACCTCCTAAATGCAACGCATTTGATGCGGTCATACCTAATTGATTCGACGAGCAAAATCATGTATACAAAACTGAGTTGCGCGTTTTTTATCACCAAGCAAACAATTCGACAGTTCTCACTCTCCGGTATAACTCGATAAAGAGTAAAATGATAGTACCGCTAAGTGACGATATCACAATTATGGTTCGGAGTATGCGCTATCGAGGACGCTCTCTTAAACAGCATCTTTTGTAGATTGTACCAGTTCTCCAAATGACGTTTCCAGACACTGTCGTAACTCCGCGTAACTTACCACCAAAACACTTTGCTCGTCTCGAGACATGAGACATATCTGTAACGATACAGATTTCGTGATTACCTTCGTAATTACACCTGTGCTTTCGCGTTCAAAAAATTATTCAAAATCTTTACCTTATCCTGCGAGCCGGAATCGAGCTTATTTAAACAAGCTACGACGTGCGCCAGATCCAACCAGGGCCTGCCATCGGCTGTTACTTGATGAAACACGTAGTCCCTAAACAATTTGAGCATGTAGCGATCGCCTGTCTCCGCCCATGTAGGTTCCATATTAAGCTCCGGCCTCTCGTTGATGGTTGCTAGTTTGACCAGCAACTTGAATAGTCGTCCGTTCTCTATTTCCTTGGCAACTTCGTTCTCTATAACGTCCAATCGTAACTGGGCGGCATCTAGCTGCGTATAGAATCGCGCACCAATCATCGGCATGAGATCCGTCACGCTCTTACGGGGTTGACTTGACAGCAAATATCTAAAAATATAATTATGCACATAAATATAGTTATAAAGTGCTATTGAGACTTTTGGTTCCGCAACACATTAGATTATAACGTCAGAAACAAGACTTGTTTTTCTTACATTATACATAAAAAAAATTTTTTTTATATCATAATTAATATTATAACTAGTATAGATTTTTAGAACTATGTTAAACTGTTTATTCTCTGTTTATAAATATTACGCGAAAGCTTTGTATCAAGCAATACTATTAAGGTCTCTGGATCCTCGTCGTGGCCATGTTAAATTGTGACATCAAAGATGAGCACATGTTAAAAATTCTTATTGTTAAACTCCATTTTTAAATGAAAAGATATTTCACAATGAAACACGATTTTAAATGGCTTTAGCGCACTTTTAATACCTCGAAAACTATTCTTTTTCCTCGACAGTCAGTCAACAAAGTTGTATGTACAAAGACCAGACTGGGCCTTATATTGCAATCATTTAACAGCTGGTGAATGATTATAAAATGAAAAGAATAGTTTTCAAAGTATCTTAAGAGTGTGTTAAAGCCAAGTCTGTTTCATCGAAATGGCGTCTAAGAATTTTTAGCGCGTTTTCTCGCCTCTAACGGTACAATTCCAACTTTGGCTACTGATTGAAGGGTTCGCAAACTTACAGAATAAGATTTCGAAGGTCAGTGGAGTAGGAACGTGTGATCAGCTCGATGGAGGCTGACATATTGTCGCGATGGACGGCGATGAGACTCCGACATGCCAGCGCCAAGACCAGCTTGCCGAGTGCTACCAAATCCTCTTGCTGATAATGCGGGATGAGAGTGAGTGGATTCGTCGTGTTCCCGTCTAAAGTGACCACGTCTGGAATGGCGACGCAACTCAAACGAAGTCGCGTCCGTGATGTAAGTAGTACCTTAGTGGGATCTAAACATCTGTACGCTAAGCCTGTAAAGTTTGTACAAGTCAGATTAATGCTCAAATTAAGCTAATGATTAACTTTCTCAAGCTAATGAGAATAAAATAAATAAAAAAATTAAGATTTAAAGACTCATAGATGTAATAATAAGTCGGACTTTACAAGATTTTGTAACGGAACATATTTACTGTCCTTGAAGCAAAAAAGAAAAGCGAAATTAATGTGTACTAACCAGCAGCGTGAATAACGCGAAATGCGGCAGTGAGTTGAATGATATAGCTCCAAATAACGCTTTCCGCCAGCATACTGCTATGCTGTTGCCTCAGAATAGTGTTTTTGGTGTGACTGTAAGGCCGTGGCGCATTGGGATCCGACGAGAATGGGTCGGTGTAACCATTGAGCTCGGTCGAGGCGAAATGTTTATTCAGCAACGTCTCCGAAGCGGGATGATAATCGTAGACAAAAACCATGGCTAAAAAAAAGCGAAAAATTCAATCAATGTGTAATTACACAAGAGATAGGCATAAAATGCGTTTCTTAAATACGTACAATGATCACCGAACGCTTTGGTGGTGAAGACTTCTTTCAGCTGAACTAGATTCGTGTGCGATAGCCGCTTCCACATGTCAACCAGCACCATACATTTTGTGTTTGTGGAGAGTCGGAAATCTAGTCGGAAATCCAGTTCGATTATGTCAAGTGTCAAACTAGCGACCATCGTAAAGAAAGGGGTTCTACAACACACTTAAACTCACCGTGCACACGACGTAAACAGTATCGCGTGCCAGTCTTGATATTGGTGGCCTTGTAAGTAGAAGTTTGATATCCCAAAACCGTCGAGGCGGGTTTATGCATCGGCTCCAAAGGACATAACTCGTGGTAACTGTCAACCTCACTGGGCAAGTCGGGAAATCGTATCACATCGGGCTGTACTAACGTCAATGCATGCTTCTGCAGTATATCCAGCCGCAGACTTTCGCTGACAAAGTAGCTGGGAGCAATTAGAGGGGGTGGGGTGGAGGGAGCAGAGGAATTATTGGAGGATGGTTGTTTCGTGGTTTTCACAGGTTGCAGATGCGATGGTGTACCTGGATAGATATAGCCAATCTGCCCTGCTGCTACGTGTCCAATCTAACATAAAGAATACGATGCAAAAATTTAATATAAATGTCACTTCTATCTCCTTATTTAAGACAATTAAAAAGTCTTGTGCGCTTACAGCCTCACTGCCATCTTCCGCTCCAACAACATGATCGTTGGTTGCATTTCCAAAATAAAAATATGTAGTGCCACCTACATTCTCCTGCGAATGGGTGTAGGAGTTGTTAAAGAGATTCGGCGAGCTGCTATTGCTACTTGTAAGGCCTCTCCCTGGCACAAATTCAGGACTGGCAGTTACCTTCTTCTGCGAATCCAGAGAAAGATTGGACAAGTGCTTGGTCACTGAGTTTGTGCTCAATGCTATGCCAGAACCTGGACGATTCTGTTGACACAAAGAAAATTTACACAAATTATATTAAGATACTTTCTCATATTACCGTTAAAATAATTTGTAGAAAATAATCAAAGTTACCATGTAGGTAGCAAGCTTGGATTCCAATGGTATTCCTCCATTTGTCTGGGGATTATATGGAACAAATATTGATGGATCCATTGCTTCCTCTGCAGCCACTGCATTTACTATTTTCGTTTCTTACTCTCTTTCACTCCTTACTCTCTGTATTGTCCTTAATTAAATTCACTGCCCACTTTCTTCTCGCACTGACTTTTACACGAAACGCTTTCTCTTGAAATGTTCTTCTCTTTATCTTGCAAATATAAATCAGTGTCCCAACCTCTTGTAACATATCTTTAAAAATCACGAATAAAAATATTTGTAGAATCATATAAAGATACAAGGCAAAATGGAAAAAAATATAAGCGCACATATTTTAATAAATATATTACTGCCCTTTCATATAAAATCAATCATTGCAGCACTAAATATATGTATATACCCATATTTAACCAAACAAGACCATCCGCATGAGAATCAACAATGGCTCGTCAGCTGCAAATCTAAGTATATCACAATCTAAACAATACTTCTTGTATCAAAAATTCATTGTGTATCGAGCAAAAAAACCAAGTGATAGGGGTCATTCTAGGGTTTCTTCTCAGGGTCACAACATAATATACATCTAATAAATATATATATTACTGGAGACACAATTTTGTTTCAAAGTTTAATGTAAGTTCAATCATCGCAACACTAAATATGTATATCTAAATCAGACTTTCTGTTTAAAAATCGACAATGGTTCGTCTTCAGCTGCAAAACTAAATATATACTAATCCAAACAATACTACTTGTATTAAAAATTCATTGAGTACCAAGCAGCGAACCCAAGTGATAGAAGACACAATTTTGTATCAAAGTTTAACACAAGTTCAATCATCTAAATATACATATCCAGACAAGACTTTCTGCTTGAAAATCAACAATGGTTCGTCTTCAGCTGCAAAACTAAATATATACTAATCCAAACAATACTACTTGTATTAAAAATCTATTGCGTACCAAGCAGCGAACCCAAGTGATAGGAGATACAATTTTGTATCAAAGTTTAACACAAGTTCAATCATCGCAACACTAAATATACATATCCAGACAAGACTTTCTGTTTAAAAATCAACAATAGTTCGTCTTCAGCTGCAAAACTAAATATATACTAATCCAAACAATACTACTTGTATTAAAAATCCATTGCGTACCAAGCAGCGAACCCAAGTGATAGGAGATACAATTTTGTATCAAAGTTTAACACAAGTTCAATCATCGCAACACTAAATATACATATCCAGACAAGACTTTCTGCTTAAAAATCAACAATGATTCGTCTTCAGCTGCAAAACTAAATACATACTGATCCCAACAACACCACTGGTATTAAAAATTCATCGCGTACGCGCAAAAAAGCCAAGTGACAGGGGTCACTCCAGAATCTCAGTTCAGGGTCGCAACATTATTCGGGCTAATGGAAAATAAAACAAAGAAGCTCGAGCGAGCAATTCCGACGCGAGGAAGGGAAAAATAAGGAAGAAAAACGACGGGAGCACGCAGCAATGGCAGCTGATTATAACAACAGGCCGAAAGAGGGGAAGAGCCGAACAATGCGCTCGGCTCGTCCGTGCCGCAGGTGACGGAGCACGGTGGAAAAGCGCGAAAAACCGACGCCGCCGTGGGGAAAGAACCGCATATATCTACCTCGGATGCCCGACGAGTCGCCGACGACATAACCCATTCGTTGTGTCACCGCTGATCTCTCCTCAAGTCGGCGCGTCGCTTCTCGCCGCCGAAGGAGGACGGACTGACAGACGGACGGACGCTTCTCCTCTCTCTTTCTCTCTCTCTTCTCTCTTCTCACATCTCTCACTCTCTCTCACTCTCTCTCTCTCTCTCTCTCCTTCGCGGGCTCTTACAGCAGATTCTCCGCTCGCGCTGTCACATCGGCGTCGCTTCCCTTCAGCTCCGGACGACGAACAGATAGATAGATAATAAAGACAGATAAAGGTGAAAGCGCCTCGGCTTCGACTCCCTGATGACGATGCCACCGTATGCACGGGATATACATGCGTGCGTTCGTGCGTGCGTCGTGCGTGTTTACCAGATGGCCGTCGCGGGGCTGGAGGGGCGCGAACCCTCTCTCCCTATTTTCTTCCTCCACTCTTTCTCGCCCTACCCTACGTGTGTGTGTGTCGTCGTCACCGTTATCCAGATCGCGTCTCCCTCTCTCCAACGCCGCGCGAAAGCGCGCGCTCCCGCCAGCCATCGCGCTCCCTTATTCGATCGCAGCTGTCCTGTCTCCGGCAGCTTGTCTTCGCTTCTCTGTATAGTGGAAGAATGGCGGAGCTCGCGATTTCTTTTTTTCAGGAAATATGCTCGATTGAAACGGAAATGCAATTTTTATTTGTGGAAAAATATGTGGCTTCTTATACGTCATCGCGCACATGGTTTTTAGATCGAATACGCAGTTGTCATATTTGTATGTCTTTTTGAAGGACATTTCAAAGTCAAACGGACGAGTTTTCTTTTTTTGACAGCTGGGAATGGATAATAACATTCCTGAACGCGTAGCTATAAACGTGTCAGATTAGATTTTCGTTTCTAGATTCAAATGTCAATACGAATGACAGATGAGATATGAAAAATTATTTGATTTTTAAAAAATGCAAAATTCTTGTTTAATTACTCCGAAGTTGCTCGCGAATCAGTGGCGCCTCTGGCGGCGAAATTAGAGCTAATCGTGTTCTCGTAGTTTCTCGCACATGTTTTCACGCCATACGACATTTGGACACAGATTAATAGACAGATCGCCAAAGGCCTGCCTAAAGAAGAGACCGCCATCTTCGTGCGATAGACTTTGCCCCTTACCGACACACTTTGCCCCTGGTTCGAGTCCGTGCTAAATTTCGTAGACTTGAACCAAAAGACTTTGCCCCTGGTTCGAGTCCGTGCTAAATTTCGTAGACTCGACCAAAAGACTTTGCCCCTGGTGCAAGTCCAGGCTAAATTCGTTTGACATTACCAACAGACTTTGCCCCTGGTGCGAATCCAGGCTAATTGATCATGAGACCAATTTGAGAGATTTGGCCCCCGTTGTGTGTGTGTGTGTGTGTGTGTGTGAGAGAGAGAGAGAGAGAGAGAGAGAGAGAGAGAATATTTTACATATATGCATATATATATATAAAATTTATTAAATATAAAAAAATATATTTTTTACACATAAAATGTTTTTTTATTGAAATAATCACGATTTTAAATGTGATATAACACAGTGTTCAAAAATTTTTTAATTAAATTTTTTAATTAAATTTATTAAAGAAAATTACTTGAAATTTTTTACATTAAGAATTTAAAGGCTCCTTATTCTCTTGTAGAAATTTATCACTACGCCAATTAATCACTTATTTTGAGTATTTAAAATACTATAATATACAGTAATTTAAGTATTCGAAATAAAAGTGATTAATTACTCGAAATAAGTGATAAATTGGCGTTACTAGTAATAAATTTCTATAAGGGTTGAAATAAAGTATAAAAGATAAATAGGCTATATGTGAGCCGTATGCGAAATGTGAGATGTAAGACGCATATTGAAATTTAATTTTTCGATATAACTTTCAAAAATGTACACGAGGTACAAAAAATTAGCTTGGACATTTGTAAGACTTAAAATTGGGATTAATTCTCAATTCTATTAATTAAATTTCGATATAACACACCTTACATCCGCGCACGGCTCACATATAGCCCATTTATTAGTGCAATTTTTAAGTTCCTTATTTTTCAAAGTTCACCTTTTTACGTTATCAAATATTTTTGGTACGTTTTCAAGAATTTTATATTTTTACTTACCGCAGTTTCTTATCCAATGTAAAATCTTTTATCGCAGTCTATAAAAAATTGAAACAATTTACAATTTTATGAATATATTATTATTATTACAATTTCTATATATATGCACATCTGTCAAATATCGTGATTTATTTCACATTATTATTATCTATTTTAATAAAAAAAAAACAAAAACACTTGCAACAATCAAAATAAACCGCCTGCCGCGAACGGAAAATGCCAAGAAAGCACGCAATTTCCGCGAATCTCGTAATTTTTTTGAAAATCAACAATTTCAACGAAATTGTAAATTCTTCAAATCACTGCACAAGTATAATTCACAATAATAATTTTCAGTAACTACGATAAAAAATCGTATACTGAAAACCGCAAACGAAAGTGCAATGGGAGTAAGAGTAAAGTCTGTGATAAAATTAATTGGCAATAGAAAATTAATAATTTTCAAATAGAAAAATTTTGAAATTACCGAGGATTTACAAATAATAAAGTAAAAATATTAAATAATTTATGTTTTCGAATTTTGCTCGCGGAGAGGATCTTTAAAACAAGATTTTTAGAAGAGAGGACCTTTAAAATATAAACAGGCAAAAACGTTGGAAAAATTAAAGCGCGCGTTTAAACAGATAAACGCAATGAAATAATACGCAATTGTTTTTACTTATCGCTGTAAGCTCACAAGCTTCTGACGTGCTATACACTTTTATATAATATATACAAGGTGTCCGGTAACTAACGGACCAATGATTAAGGGCGGATTCTCTGGCCAATTTGGAGACGATTTTTCCTTAGCAAAAATGTTGAGAAGTCAATAATTTTCGAGTTATAAGCGATTGAAAAAAATAGGTTTTTTGAAAACTAAACGTTTTGGAGTTAAAAGTCTAACATAATTACATTCTTCAGTTAATTTCAGGTAGAGTTTACTATAATAAAATTTTAATTTAAGGCTTAGTTATAAAGATACATAATGACAAAGATTGGAAAGTTGTAAAAAATGATGACCTTTTTCGACATTTTCGCTGAGGAAAAATCGTTCCCAAATTGACCAAAGAATCCATTTGTAATCATTGGTCTGTTAGTTACCGGACACCCTGTATATTGGACACGAGTTTCGTTTGTTTCAGATTCTCGAGAGTTGAAGTAGGAACATACGAGTATCATATATCGTTTGTGACTTGCCGAATGAAAGCAAGACAGAGAGCGAACGAGATGATGAGCTTAATAGCTCATAATGTTATAAATAAATAAATAAAAAATTATAACCTGACCTACTAGTTATTGAATCTTTTTTTATAAAATGTTTCATTATTATTATCATCTAAGTCTAAGTCGTTTAATTACTTTTTAGTTTTTTAATAATTAATTTAATTTATTCTAGTCATTTTTATATGAGAAAAATAATATCACGTATACGTTTTATAATAAATTAATATATTTCGGGAACCGAATTATATATTCTTAATAATATAAAAGTGTTCAAAAATTATATTTGACTTTTAATTTTAATTATTTTATAGCAAAGAGTTCCGAAATCTCTTACACACATAATGGGGATTTTTTTCATCCATATAATTCGCAATTAAGTATATATGTTAATTATTAATTTTAATAAAATAAAAATTAAAATTAAAGGTCAAATATAATTTTTAAACACAAATATATTAAATTAATTATAAAACGTATACCCATGATAGTATTTTTCTCGTACAACAAATTAGAGTAAATTAAATTAATCATAAAAGATTAAAAATTAATTAAAGAATTTAAACTTATATTTTATATAATAATAATAAAACATTTTATTACGTCAAACCGTCGTGAAATAATTAAATAAAATTTGCTAGTTACGTCAAAGTCAAGTTTTCTAAGCTTATAAAACATTTTATTAAAAAACAGATTCAATAAATATAAGTACATGTTATATATATACTTATATTTATTGAATCTGTTTTTTTTATAAAATGTTTTATTATTATCATATTTTAATTTTTTTATGAGTAATTTAATTTGTTCTAGTTATTTTTGTACGAGAAAAATACTATCACGGGTATACGTTTTATAACGAATTAAATATATTTATGTTCAAAAATTATTTGACCTTTAATTTTAATTTTGTATTTTATTAAAATTAATAATTAACATATATACTTAATTGCGAATTATATGGATGAACAAAATCCCTATTATGTGTGTAAGAGATTTCGGAACTCTTTGCTAAAATAATTAAAATTAAAAGTCAATATAATTTTTGAACACTTTTATATTATTAAAAATATATAAATTCGACTCTCGAAATATATTAATTCATTATAAAACGTATACGTATTAGTATTTTTCACATATTAAAATGATTAGAATAAATTAAATTAATTATTAAAAAACTAAAAATTAATTAAACGACTTAGACTTAGATGATAATAATAATGAAACATTTATTAAAAATAATTATAATAGGTCAGGTTAATATTTTATTTATTTATTTATTTATAACATCATAAAATTCTGTCCTTTCCGAAATACGCGAACGCTACGAAAAGATAAATCTCGTACATGCCGCCGGACGAGTTCATGAGCATGAGACGCTCTTATCTTGGGAACGTATTAATAGTTACTGCATTGACCACTACTACGATATGGCGCTGAAATCAGTGAGAAATGCTGGTCTCCCTCATCCAGACCTTTGGCGATCTGTCTATTAATCTGTG